ATATATATATATATATAGATATTATAATATATATATATAATATATATATTATTTATTTTATTATATATATATATATATATATATATATATAGAGCATGTATAAAAAAATTAAAAAAGAAGAAGTTATCTACTCTTTCAGTAAACATAATAAGATTCATTCATTTTATTTGTACTTTGTACAAACTTTTTTCTTTTCTTTTTTTCCAAATCTGGCCGCGTTCTATCTCCACTTCGCAACAACAAAAAGTGTAAGAAAGTGCAGGTAAAAAAATGAAGACCGGCGGTGTTATCAATAGACATGCATCGTGACGCGCATATCGATTAAATGCTATTGCGCACAATTAAAATTGTAAAGCGATTAAGATTACCCGTCCGCTATCGAGAGTTAACGCACTCCTGTTGAAGTCTTGCTGACTGTAGTCCGCCATGTTGAACATATGCCACGCACAGAGAAAATTATCAGGCAGTTAATAACATAGATAACGTTTTATACGTATGTGTGTATACTATATCATTATTAGTATAATATTAATATTTGATATTCTATACTTATAATTCCATGTACAAGATGGCTCGTTGGTCTAGGGGTATGATTCTCGCTTAGGGTGCGAGAGGTCCCGGGTTCAAATCCCGGACGAGCCCTTTTTTTTATATTTTTTTTCTTTATTACTTCAAAAATTTACACCATGTCTAACATATAAGAAAACATATTACATTTTTTTTATATTATTAAATTAAGCTAAAAATTGTATATTGTTTCAATAGATTATTAAATTGTTCCAATAGGCTACTAAAAATATAGAAAAGTACTCTTATTTTTTGTTTTCAAATAGTATATAAAAGTATATAAATCTGACATTAATTACATCCTATTTCCTTTTCATCTAATCTCATTCTCTTTGGACTTTAAAACTTAAACTTTAAACATATTTATATATAATATTTTCAGTTTAGGTAATACATATCCAAGGTTGGTAAATTAATTTTTTTCTATTAGATTAGATTAAATTAAATTAAATTAGATTAAATTAAATTTAATGGCTTATACAATTAATTTAGTTATATTAAAAGTTGCACGAACAAAAAACTAATTTAAATAAAGTTGCATTAACATTAAATTAATTTAAATTAAATTTAAAATTAATGTTTTGAAAGATATTATTTATATTAAAATATAATTTTTTAAATTTAAACTACTTTAAACAAAAACTAATTATAATATTATTGAATAAATTTAATATTTTATTTGTAAAATAAATTTATATAAAATACCAAAGAAATATATTATCTTTTGTTAGATTTTTTTTACATAGAAATGTGTTTTTTTTAGCTATAGTAATAAATAAAATAGTTAAAGAATTACATAGAAGGAATTATACAAAAAATACAAATATACATGATTATTATATATAGAAAAGAAGTGATTAGATATATATTAATTATACAATAATATATTAATAATTATAAAAAATATCTATATTGCACTTAAATAAAATTTTAATTAACAAAACATTTTCAAATAATTTTTCCTTTTTCTCTTTCTGTTTGAAACTTAAAGGAAATGCAAGATATCATTTCCAATATGATCATTGAGTTTTTTCTAATTGTTTAAAATTTGACAGAAAGAAATATTTTATAAATAAAAACATGTTAACTTAAAAAAAGTTAAATGTTAAAAAATGTTAAAAAAGTTAATGTTAATACATTAATAGTTAACTTAATTGAAATTAACTAAGTTAAGTTAAAAGTAATTAACTTTTAACTTTATTATTAAATACTTAACTAATTAATTACTACCCAACATTACATACATCACAATAATATAAATAAAATCTAATTGTATTAAGATGTTAACTTATTAATTAGTAATATAATATTTCACTATTTTATAAAATCACTTAAAGTTTTTTTATTCTTCTTCAATTTATATATCGTATGAGACACGCTATTTATATCCAAAATTTTGCTGGAAGACGGATTTTCTTCACATTTCTTAACTTTTGAATGTACTTGCTCATTCTTATCTGATTCATTTTGTCTTAGCTTTTGTTTAAATTCATTCCTAGATGAATCAGGAAGAGCATTCTCATCAATGTTCGAAACATCGTCACTAAAATGAATAAATAAACGCAATAAGTATTTTGTATGTGCTTTATCAAGTATTGCACCTTACACTATTCGTACCTTACACTATTCGTCGAAGACACTTCAGACTCTGTTTTTGTATATTTCATATTTGGCAAATTTAATTCATTATAAAAATGGAGCACAGATTGAAAAGTTTTTACGAAGTCAGTTGCAATAAATCCGACAGCATCAATGTGAAATAACTCTTCGCTAAATGGCTTTGTAGCGATATATTCTGAGAATATAAATAATAATTCTATCTTAATTCTATTTAAAAATATAATAATATATATAGCACACTATATGCGAGAAACGCATACTCCTAATCAACTTCGCGCCTTCCGCTTTATATTCTGCAATCTCTTCATCTTTTTGTTTCACCAAATCTAGCAGAATTTTATGCTGACGAATCAATTCCATCGAAGATAAGCAAAAAGGCATAGTCACGTTTTCCCAAAACTGTTGCGGCGTTCCTTTAAGGAGATCCAACGAGAATTTCAACTTTACGAATTCCTTGTCTTTCCGCAATTCTATTTGATACATATTGATTTCTAGGACATTTGTGTGCACATATTGAGGAATATTGTTTAACATATCCAGTATCAATTGCTTCCAGTCAAAGGCATCGAGATTTAAAAGAGGATTTAAACTCTAGAAATTGTGTATAAAGTAATTTCCTTATTGAAATTGCAAAATACTCTTTCACACACAGACACACACATACATATATACACTCTTTCTAATAACAAATTCCAAGCTACATTTGGCTTTTGACTTGCATTTATCGAGGAATAAAAACCAATTGTGAATATATAGTGAGATAATAAAACCTAAGAATCCAATTGCAATTTTTAATTTATATCTATATATGAAATAACGAATTCGATAATATCTTTTCAGTTGAGACAATTCAAGTACCTGACATTTGTGAAACATCGTTTCATCGGTTAGAGTCTCCATCCAAATTTCTATTAGATCCGTTAAAAGAACTTTCCATGATTCAGCTACCTTCGTGAAGCAAATTATATGATTTTTGTCATTTATTTGAAGATTTTTCCAAACCCTGTCCTCTCCGTAGCGATTTGAAATCATATTTTGATGACACGATGCGATTCTCGATATCGCAATGATAAAAAACGAATTCGATATAAAAATTTAAAATAGTTTATATATATATATATATATATATTGCACACAGTATAGGTTATGATATAATCTATACACTGAAATATAATAATACTAGAACGCGCGTTAGAAGCGTTAGCGTTAGAAGCGTGAAATAACAAAAGTTGCATCTGGAGAGCGCGCTAAAAGTTATCGCATTATTCTATCTTTGAACAACAAAGATAGAATGACACAATATTGCTATTTGATATAAACGTTATATGACAGCGCTTTATATTACATTTCAAATGCCTGTGTAGATTCGTTTTATTTAATCCATTAATATATTTTCAACAAATTGTCTTTAGAATGTGTATATTTTATTATACAATTTATACATGAATTTTTTTATCACATACTATGTTTTTTATTACTATTAAAGCTTTAAAGTCATTTCTATTAGGGCCTCTTTCACCAATCTTCGGTTAAGCTAACCGACGGTTAACTCAACTATCACGATTGCCAACAACTGAGAACTAAACTGTTTATTGTTAGATAACTGTTAAAATTTTTATTTAAGCGAATGATTGCTTAATAATTTTTATTTACATTAATTATCGGATATTACTTACAATTTCATCTACCTACCAAGATACTTACAACACGAAAAGAATATTAAGTTAAAGAACACACACTACTTTCTGAGCATTAAATTACAGTTGGCACTCTTGCAGGTTAATCTTCGGTTAACTTAACCGAAAGATTAGTAAAAGAGATCTTTAATGTTGTCCAGAACTTGATACTTATGAAACGATACTCTATGTTGTCCATAACGTCTCACTTCGATGTATCGATTGAAACGATTACTGCGCTTACATATTGCGCTTTAATCGATACATCGAAATGAAATAACTAATAATGATAGTACAATGGTCATATTGTAATTATTCAAGTCCATTGCCTTTTCTTGTAATCTCGCTTTTGTTATAAAATGACTCATAATACATTTGTAGACAGTGCAAATTTATATATATGTTGAATTTTTAAAAGATCCTTGCACTATGATCGATATCTCGAACAGCGATTCTTAAATGAAGAGATAGCTTAAGCTTTGTGAGATTTTACATCCAAATCAAAACGTCCAAAAATGACAAATATTAAAAATGTTTTTAAAATAGAATTTTCATTATTTTTTAAAGAAAATCTATTATTCAGCTCAATTGTTAAATCGACAATTTAGCAATTGAACTAAATAATAGATTTTCGACGATTAATAGTGAAGACGCATTCTCTCGTAGAAATATATTTTGCTAAAAATATGATATGTATTTTGACTGAACATAAATCGACAATATTTTGTTAAAAATATAATATGTATTTTAACTGAATATAAATTGATAATCAAAAATACAAGAAATAATAAATATATAAAAATAAATAATTTAGCAAAAGATATATAATTAATCAAATGCACTTCTGAACTGTTTTTTTTTCCACGTGTCAAATGTGACTGACAGTGTGTCGCGATTTTCCGGAAGTGTTAGCAGTAAATGCACTTTTGGATTTGTAATTCCTTCGTTTGGATACTTCTCGCCAATTGGTGAACACGAGAGGATTGTATTCGTTCGTATAGAAAAATTCACGAGATTTATCGGTTCTATAATTTTTGCACAATCTATTAGACGGCGAGAAATGTTCAGGTTTATGTAAACACGCATTCGATGTATTACTAAATACTTTCTCTCTCTTCGTCATTAGATAATTACGAAGCAACACGCCACTGCATTTCGATGAGAGTTCGAGAAAAACTTTCGCGAAAGCTTTATCAAAATCCATCCGCTTTCCCATATTACTATCCTCTGCAAAGAAATATGATGTTTTTATTTAAAGTTAAAAATCTTCTGTATTAAAATAAATAATATTTTGTTATTATTGTTAATTAATATTGTTATTAATATTCTTATCCTTATTTTTATTTATGAAATAGATCGAAAATATATTGAACGACTTTATTATAGTGATACATATTACCATGTTTTTTTCTTTAACAATTTCCTTCTTAATGCTATTTAAATCAACATCAAGTGATCCACATTTCTTCTTTATATCATTGCGAAATCTTAATTTCAAGTTAGGATTTCCTGCTTCGTCTGTACATTGCGATGCCATTACATGCTTCGAGGCTACGTGCTATAATAAAAGTGTCTTGGAGAAAGTTGCAGCAACCAGTTTTGATTTTAATTATCAACTATGTCGCCAGCAAATTCTTAAGATTAGTAAATATATATAAGAATATATTTAATATATATTTTGCGAAATAAATAAATAAGTAAATAAATATATATGTGTGTGTGTGTGTGTGTGTGTGTGTGTGTATTCTAAATTTGTTTAAAAAAATTGACTCAAATTAAATTTTCTACCAAGTTTTCACGGACTTGTTCTCTTCTTTTGCATTTCGATGCTAAGTTACATAAAATATCTTTGGTATAAGCATTTAGTTTTCTTGTGATACTTGACAATTCATTATATTCGAGTTTAAGTTGTCTGACGAGATAGCTTTCAACGCCCGAAATCGATATGTCAGGTTCAATCGCATTTTTATTTAAAAGATTGCAGGTTATTCCTACATCCTTGACCAAAACAGCATCTTGAAAGCCATCAGATTTATTAGTTCTGTAACGTCAATCTTTTATTATATTTTCTCTTTAATTACAAATTTCCATAAAATAAAATAAAATAAAAAGTAACATAAAATAAATCAATATAAATTAATCAATAGTAAAAATCAAAAATAAAATTCTGAATTAAAATTTTTGTAATTAATTAGAATCAATAAACATACATTTTTATCGCTGTTTTTATATTTTATGTTGTATTTTTACTTTTGCAATTAATTAAAAGCTTAGCACCTGTAGTACGAAAATCCGCAATAATCTACTTCATTTTCGATATTGCTCGATTTTCGTATAGTATCGTCCTGGACTACTGCGAATTCATCAGGTACATAATCCTTCGTGACATTTATCGAATCGAGTAGTACCGTTGAAGCATATCGAGCAATTGGATTCTTATCTTGTCGCGAAAGGAAAGCGTTCTTGAAGTCCTCCGAGCCGGAAATCGCCGAGTATTTTCTCCTCGCCGACATAATACCGGGCGCATCGCCCGCTTCCGGGGAGGCGCTAATTGCGCACACCTCGGGAGACAAGTTGCTAATTAGCTGGACGGAATTGCGAGCTGCATGTCGCGATAACGCATTCATATGCATAGTACATAGATACATATGTATGTGACATTATATTTCGTGCTGATTATAATTACCTACGAATTTAGCGTGAAAACAAATGTAGCATACGCATCATATGAAGACAATTGCTTATTAACAAATTCGTTAATTAAACGACTGATTAACAGATTCGTCAATTGTATGTAATTACCGAGATTCGAAACTTCCTACGGCCCATCCCAGAGAAACACAAGCATGTACCATATTTGTATGTTTGCCATGTATTTTCGGACCTATCCATCACATCGTAGTAAAATTACGACACTACCGATTAATTTTGAAAATCCAAAGAGGAAAATCGAACATTTGCTTCTTTACTCCAGAATGGGTTATATTTACTTCTCGAAAGATTAATGGAAAGTGATTCTCGATTGCAATCTAAAGATAACTTCATTGTCGCTCATTTAAATAAAGATTTGCGTGAAAATATATTTTCTGGTAATCTATATTTTAAATTTTTCTGACGAACTTTTCTCCATTAAAAAATAAAGTTAAATTTAATTAAACTAAAAGATAATTAAATTAATAATAATAAAACGATTCTCTTCAATAGCTTGCCATTTTTTGTTAAATTAAAATATTACAAATTAATATTCCTATGATAAAAAAATAATCTCTTGGAACTAAAAATATATGTTTTTTTTATATAATCAAAGAAATTATATAAAAAAAGAAAGATATTATATTTGGAATATTTCTAAGTTCTTAAAAATTAAATTACTCGTTAATTTGACGATGAATCTGCCACTGAACTGCTTGTAAAATATGGAATTCTACGCCACTGGCGGTTTATTTTCTCCAGCCGATCGCTTGCACGATGACGATGATGGCGGCGCTATCGGATCATCTTTGAAGCTTTAAATATCCGAGACATTAAAATTATGTAGAATATTAATTAATTGAAAATGATAAATCAACTATAATTTTAAAATAAATGTCATCAAAAAATAGAACATTCATGTAAAATATATAATGGTATCACGTCGAGTTTTATAAAAAAAAATTCTACTTTGGAAAAAATTCTTAAGAGATCATTTTAACATGAATAATTGCACTACAAAAGTTATTCTGCAAAAGTACATTCTTTTATAATGTTTTTTCTCTCGATATAATAATAATAATAATATTAAGAAAGATAAAAATTAATATATAACTTGATTTCGTAATTTGACAAACTCTCCCTTCACTTCCATTCCTTTTTACAAATTTCAACAAAATATTTTTATATCATAAAATTGACGAGTTTAATAATAACCTTAAGGAGCCCATACTGATATACATCACTGCAACGATTTGCCGAGCACAGTCGAGGAACAGGTCGTGGCGTTGCGGCCCGACAGTCGCGTCGGCGCTTCGTTCGCCAGCCGTCGTCAAACTTATTCTCCTGCCGGGCCTCTGATATGCTTTCGTTATCTCGCTCTGATGGTGTGTAAATCTTAGTGTGAAATTCGTTCTTTACAGATTCGAGGGATACACGAGTATTCGTATCTGCGTTGGATCTCTCAAGGAATTAAATTGCGACAAACGGATTCTTAGTGGTCCCCGCAACCGCAATGTCTCTGCGTTCCGCAGCGAGCCCAAGCCCGACTTGAGAGTCGTAAGGAAGATAGACTACCAATCAATCTGAACAGTATCCCAAAAAGTAATTTGCTCCTTTCAATGATATCATTGATGTTGAAGTAATAATAATAATAATAATAATCAATTGACTAATTAGTTATTAATGAATATTTTTATGAAATATTAAAATAAGGAAATTAAATAATAAATAATTGTTACATTCGGGAATTGAGAGAAAGTAGCAACCATCGCTGATTCGCCATAAGGAGAAATATATAGTGATGGCAGTGACATTTTTGCATTTGCTTTTGAGTCGATTTGTACGCTTGGTCGATCGAAAAATTCGATTAAAATAAGAATGTGTATCAAATCGACAGACTAGAAACATACCGGAGCAAGATTGTCACAAGATGCAAAAGCGAAAAAGCAGAAAACATGCATAGAGGGAAAATAGAATCAAAGAAAACGTATATGATTGATGAGGAGGATGTTAACAGTGATAAACATGGTATAATGATAACATATACGGTTCGAGGATAATCACTGACTTTATCAACAACTCTCAGCACTTAGAAAACTGAACGATCATTTTTGTGCGTTTGCTCAAGATATCCTCTCCAACATCAAATTGGAGTGAATTTGGGTCTGGTTGTTAATGAATATTAATTGTTTTCCAATGAGTACAAATTAAAAGGATAGTTGTGTTAAAATCGATGTGGTGCGTGGATCTCATAAATATCAAGTAATCTGTGAATATTGACTTAAGTGAGATCGCGACGCAAACCGGATGAGATGTGTCGAATGGAGTAACGTCGGGATTTCTCGCAGATCATCGTCATCGTGGATCATCGATGTAGCGCGATGTCGGCCTGGTGGCCTGTCGTGGCGGCGGCGCTATGCGTCTGGATGGTCGCTGGTGAGTTCAATGCGGGATTATGCCGGCTAGCAGATTAGGAATAAATTCATATTTAAATATCTTTGACTAATTCAATTATATATAAATAATTATATATAATTATATGTAAATTATATATAACTTTATATATATAATATATATATGAAAAATTATATGTAAATTATATATAAATTTAATAAACATAATAAATAAGTTTTGCTACGTTAATAAATTAATATGAATCATAAATCTTAATTTATGATTATTAGGTATGTAATTATAAAAAAAGTCAATTCTGAAATATAAATATCCGGTCAACTATTGATTTGAACTCGAAAGGAATTGTAGATCTTTAGAATATATAGAGTTAACAACAAGAAGAGAACGATTGCAAAATTAAGGACTTAAAGATCCAAAGATCTATGGACATTCCACAAAATGGAAGGTATGTCATTAGCAATGAATCCGCAGTTTCCTTGACAGAAACATCTGCGGTATTTGTAGAATTTCTAAATTATTCGATTTTTTAAAGATTTAATAAATATTTTGAACTAAGAATGTCTATAACTGACAATGATTCCATGAGGGATAATTTTGAAATTGCTGAATGGTTTAATATTTTCTCTAAATACTTTTTAAGATCAATTTATTGCATTATATTCTTTCCGAAAGATATGATTTGAGATGAGTTGTAAATATATATATATATATATGCGCTTTCTAATATGTCATGGAGAAAGCCACGGAGCGTATTAGGATGTACAGGAATGTTAGAACGATCATTATTCTAATATAAACACGCAAAATCTTGATATTCTGATATCTAAACACGCAATGTATTTTTTATCTAGGAAAGATAATTTTGCTATTCGCTCAAAAACAGCAAAGATGCGAAATAACGGCGTTACGTTTTCATAGTAGATCTTGCTTACGCCAACGATTCCTTTCTCTCCAGAGTATGCTATTATAAGTTGCCTTGCTATGTAACCAAATATCTTTTGTGCAACAACAATCCCATCACGTTGCTCTCACACAATAAAAAGACTCGTTCTATTGTAAATTTATAAGAAATCTTAAATAACTGTTAAAAAATCTTTGTGTCTATTTCTTAGGTAATTTTTTAGGTAATTTTTTAGGTAATTCAAATTTACAGTAAAATAATAATTATAATAGTTGTAATTAATAATAATTATTGTAATTGTTATTAAACGAATTATTAATAAACTATACAAATAATACAAATACACAACTATACAAATAATTTTCTTAATACAATAACATTTTTCTAAAATCAATTTTCTTCTTATTACAGATTTTTATCTTAAATTACGATAAACGCAAAAATATAATTTTATTATATTATAATATATACTACAAAACATAATATTATAATATATATTACAAAAATAAATAATACTTTTTATAAAATTACTTTTATATTATATTATATTATAAATTAAATTTTTTATACATGGTACCAGTTTCTCGTACAGATAATATCAAAAATAAATTTTTAATTAATTTTACTTTTTATTTTGAATATTTAGAAATATTTATATACAGCGGAAAGGTAATACAATATTGTCAGCATCTTGTTCAAGCTTCATGCGCATTGCCATTATTTATACCACTATCTGTCATCCTCGAGTGAGCGATCGAGATTTAAGCAAGTAGAAAGTTCGTAATCTTAAGAAAGTTTCGTGAAGGCCTTCAGTGCCGGCCTTTTGTCAGATTCCTCTTCCTCAGCTCAGATAATTGCCGAAGAAAGCCGGAGAGCAACCGATCGCGCGCGAGGTAACAGTTGCGACACGATTACGAGAATGTGCGTTCAAGTGCGGCCGAAGAACGCAACAAGAAGAGGAGATTCGTACATATTTTGCATCTGTACGAACACTCACGATCGTTAAAAGCTGAAGACTTTAATTAGTCGAGTGCGCAAACAGTTTCTATCAAATCTCGCGCAATTACAACTCAATTCTTGGCAATGAAATTCGACAAGATAAACTATAGCATAGTTTATCTTGTCGAATTTCATTGCCTAGCTATATTGCTATATTTCTATTTGTACAAAAGCAATAATAAGAAAACGAGGTAAAGTTGAAGTTGTTATAAAAATAAAATCTTATTATCTAAAATCTTATTATTATATATAAATAATTAATATAAATAAATAATTTGTTTATTAAAATGACAAATATAAAGAATAAATATTCATGAAGTTGTATTGCTATATAAAGAATATATTTTCTATTTCTTTTTATTTTCAAAGATTACATATATTTTACACATATAAAATATATATTTATATAATTTATTTCGTTCTATTCATGAGAGAATCAATAAAAATTCAAAATAATCCAAGACACATATAAGTCCAACAAGTAATAGAAATTTCTTCTGTTTGTGAAATCATATATAAGTACATATCGCACCTCCTGTCGATCTTGCGCACATACATCACACTTGACATGATTAAGCCTTCGAAGAGCAATTAACCGCGGCCAGGAAGCATGCGGTTTTACGAATAATTACAGCTGTTTCTCTGCGAGCTTATCTTTTACGCTAAAAACGTCACTCATGATTTAATCGTAAAAATTCCACATGTTGTATATATATTCATTTTCTAGCTGATAAATATTTTTTCTTTTAAATTTAAAATTTATATATGCTAAATTTTTATATTAATTTTTGTTAAATTAATTTGTTAAATTTCCTTCTTTTTTATTCGAAATATTACGTTGGAATTTTTCTTTCGTATAAATACTTGACGTTAAATTCTATCTAGAATATTTCTATTTTCTCTTCTTTGATATATCATAAGCACATTTTTATCCATGTTTCTAGATTTTTACTATTGTAGTTCGTGACTGTTCATACATGTGATGAATTCAAGCATGTGATTACTGAATTATCAGAATGTAGCTGATTTCTCGAGCTACGTGGTTTGAATATTTTGATATCATTTGAAAGTTCGCATAGACTAGAAGTCGGAATAGCGATCTTGCTACGCATATTGTGCACACATTGTAGCTACCGGAAAAATAAAAGCGGACAGTCTACGCATGCCAGGAATACTCGCGTTAGCCTCGTAAACCTTCTTTTTGCGTTCTTCTTAACTGATACAATACGGTTGCCTCTCGCGAAATCTTTACTGGTTGCACAAAACTATTCTCCGATTACTTTTCTCTTGAAAAAGTATATCAAATAATATTAATTAATTAATTACAAGTGAATTGCAAGTGATAATTAATTAGAATAATATGAGAATAAGTATTTTCACTTACTTTATTACTTACTTTATTATACTCGGCAAATACAATATTTTTGTATTTGTATTCTTATGGAATATGCAATGTATACATACATTGCGTATTATAATACAATTTATTGAGGAAAGGGAAATGCTATGCTAAATTTCTTTACTAAAATATATGAAAAATTATCATAATAAACTATTATAAAGCAGCAAAACGGTACTCGAAGAAGGTCGCAAGAAGAAATATACGCAAACGGCGAAGACAAACTTTATTCGCACAACACGATAAAGCAGTGACACGATCGCAAACTCACCAGACACGGGTATTAATACGTTGCACCTGGCGGTCGCATAACCGGGACGCAGACATTCAACAAAAACCGGCGGTTAGGTCTCACAATGGGAGTCCGCCTTGATTTAACCCTTCTCATTTCGAAGACAAAGAGTTGGAACATCCGTATATATCTGAAGAACTATTGTAAAACATAGAATAAATAATGATATCAAAATGTAATAATATTTTTAAATCAAGTAAAAAAATACACACAGACAAAAATATATTTAAAATAATTATTTTATAAAGAGATTTATTACTTATATTTAAAACGTATATAATATAAAAAACATAATATATTCTTCACCTTCCGAAATTTGTGAGAAAATTAAAAAGATTTCTCATACATCGAACTTGGAATAAATTATCCGAATTATTTTATTTTAAAATTTAATAAAGAAACTGAATATATGGATTTTTTATTTAATTTTTCAAAAAGATATAGTATCATCAATATCATGTTTCTATTATTACATTTACTACAATTATTTTCTTTACATTTATCACAATTGCTACTTGCCATTTGTTTTATTTTTCAGCAAATAAGCAATATAAATATAAAAACTGTTTGTATATAACAAAATAATTTTTAAATTTTCAATTTAAATAATTTTTTCCTTTAAAAAGGAAAATGGGATATGAAGATAAAAAGTAAAGGATCCTATATTAAATTATCGGTATGAGGCTTCGCGAGAGAATTAACAACATTCAAGCACAGAGACAGTCGTGCAAACCGGGTCACCAGACACCGAGCAAGAACCCATGCCTAACCTTCACTGACATCAAGGCTTGTCGACTGCACTGACGGGGCGGGAGGGACGAAGTGCATTTCCACTGACTCGTAGAATTCCTTGCAATAGCACGGTCTTCGGGCCATCTTCTTCACGTGCGTGTCATATCGCGATTTATTAGTCATGATGTGTTTACTTGTGTTGCGTGTCTAAGCAATTCTGGTTTCCGGAAAAAATAAGTTTTCTCGAAAAAATTTGATTCAGTCCTACAAAATAAACGCGCAAAACATATATTTAAAGCAGAAATCTAAATCCAAAGCTAAAAACTATAAAATTATATCTTAAAGTAATAAAAATGATAGAAAATATGATGTACTAGGCAAAATAAAATTTGTCCGCATAGAAAATTTTGAACTAAAAAGTTTTTTTTTATAATTTATGTAATAATCTACCTTATGTATAATTTCTTCTTTAATCCATATTATATTTATTATATAATCTTTTCATTAATATCCATATTTTCTTTTTCTAATAGCGATATTTTCTATTTTCTATTCTCACGGTAGAATTTGTATTCGCGCATAAACACGCTTTTATAGCGATTTCGACTTAACGCAGGAAATAAGCTCAGTATGGCGGATGCGGCGAACGTATGTTATTACGGCGCGGCCATAAGATCGTTTATGTGAGCATTCTTCTC